TTATACAACTTTTGTAGTTTTGCCAAGCTAAGCTTGAAACAGTAGCTAGTTCCCTGAAAATATAAAACATTGGTTAGGAGTTGGAGTTATTTATTTTATGTCTCTGTGTTTAAAAATACAAAACATAAGCATTAATGTCAAAAAGACAGTACTACTTTAAGTTACTTAATGGCAGAATTTGGATATCTGTACAGTTTTGATTTGCCTCTTTTTCATCACCAATCTTTGTATCATTGTTGTAATAGTCCCCTGCACAGGACCTTTTCTTCACTCAGTGCAGAGGATGGATCCTGCTCTAGAAATGACCTAGCGTTGTATAGAAAGGGAGACTGGCATTTATTCCTAAACCACCCACTTCATAGCTGTAGTAGTTGGAGAGCACTTAATGGCTGAGGTAGGGCGTTACAGGAGAAAGGAAGGGTCGTGTTTAAGGTAGCTGAACACTGCTCTTGGGAATTCAGTCCTTTCAGTGGTCTGTCACAGAGTTTGCATGTGCTACATCAGTTGGATGTACTTCAGTGCAATCATCTGTGAGGACAGTGTTCATGCCCTCTGGCTTTAGAAATCTGGACTTTTAAGAGTTCTTTAGTTGTGAAGCATGACGGGAACTTCTTGAGGCTGGTTCAGACTGCCATAATATGTAAAAGGAGTCTGCAACAGCTGGAGTCCAAACTTGAACATCTCAGCTGAGAGGCTAATGTTGGATCCAGTGAGATTAATTGAGGCCTAGCTGACTTACTGCTTTTTTCATATGCCTCTTCAAACTATTAAGTTCTAGTCTGCAAAAATGGTATTACTCAGAGTGTGGACAGAAGTTGGTGGAACTGTGCTCTGAATATATGAACAACGCCGCTAAATACTCTCAGAACGAGGATCTCAAATTCAAGCATCCGATAGGCACATACATTCTTGGCCTATGTTTTTGTTTCATATATATGGGATGGGTTTCATGTTGTCATCTCCATCTCTCAAGAGTGTTGTGAAAATAAACTAGTGTCCTGAAGAGTTCCGCTGGAAAGTGTTTGGGATGATTAAAATTCTAATTGCAACAGCTGAATCATATGCAGAAAGTAAGGCCAGGTTCCATGCATTGAACAAGTGAAGTGAAAAAAAAGTATTAAATGGTGCTCATTTAAGTGAATACGATTCATCATGTCTGAGTGCAACAGAGCTGTCATGGGGATAGGCCGAAGGGAGCATACTGATTATGAGTGCAGGAGAGGCCAGTGTCTTGCTGATAGTTCAGGAACTTTGGCCTGGCATTGCCTCTAGAGGCAAATGGCTGCATATGCGGGAAAATTTTCCTGGATGGGAACACGGTCAGGGTGGATGTTGTTTTATTGAAATCGGTGATTCTCTATTCAGCACGTGCATGCTTTAATTCAGGGTAAATCTGTCCAAGTGGAGACAGAGAAGGAAAAGGGCATGTTCTTGCAACAAAGACTGTAGGAAAAAAATTTTCTTCACATACAGAAATACAAAACCATCTAAGATGAGAGGAAAAAGAAGGTTCCCCCTTCCCCCTTAACTCTTTGCGACTGTCTGAGCTTTGTTGGATTAAATGGCCAAGGCACATATTCACAGTTTCAAGGAAATGCTTGACATAATTGCAGAAAATGGTGTTTGCATAAAATTGTGAAGGAAACCTCTGCTAAGAGTTTACTCAGTGCTCAATATTTTTTTTTTAGTTTACTAAAAGATATAATAATCAGAAGTGATTCAAAGCAGTTTCAAAATGCACTTGAATGCTCATTTTAGTTGGTTAACAGTATGCTGACTAGAATAGCAAAGGGTCCCTTGTTGTACTAAATATAATATTCCCATGGCTCTGTTATACGCTAAACACTTCACATATCTGTTTTTTACTCTTGATTTTACTACTTAACTGCTCTGCAAGTCAATTTGTATTTGGTTACCCCCACTGTACTATAAGAACTTGACCAACAGCTTACTATTAGTCTTGCTCTACAGACGTGTCACTTTTTGCTTTCCCATTTTATGTGGGAGCCTCCACTGTGCTGACAGAGCAGCATAGCAGTTATCTGCATCAAACAGAGAGTGTTATCAAGAATGCAACCTATGTCAGAAACACTGGGTATAACCAGAGGCATTTAGCCAGCAATTGATTGCCAAAGATCTCTGGCAACCAGGGAAACTATTAAACTATGTTTAGTTTTGAAAGTGTGTGTTAGCAGTATTGTGGTGCTTAAACATGTTGAAGACAAAATGCGTTTGGTTCTATTTAAAGGCTTTAAATGGCATTTCGCTGTATGTGCTTATCTGCCTAAGGGAAGCTCTCACATTTTCACATTCAGCTTCATAAAGACCTATTAATTCTTAAATGCTTTCTGAGATAAGACTACATGCTACATTTATAAGTAGCAAGGATCATTTAATTAAGGCATTGGAGTTCAGTCTAAAAAACATTACCATGCTTTAAACTGATATATAGTCTTGACTTTCAAGAAAAAAAATCAACTGGTAGGCCAGATAATTGATTCTCTTTCTCAGGAAAAAACACATTTCTTTAATATCGGTGGACTGGATACACATATTACAACCTTTTATAACAATGCTGCATGGCTGAATTCTCCTGGTTTTGTAAATAAAGTGTCAAACCTATGCATCTCTCTCTAGAGATGAAATTATATTTGTTATGATAAAATCTGTGAGGACATAATTTCACTCTGCTTAACAGCCTAAGATGATCACTGGGAGATAACTAATTTCTTCTGTGGTAAACTGCAACTATTAGTATTTTGTATGACTCTTCAGCCAGGAAATCCACCTTGAAAGTCTGAACTGTGGGGATCTGTGCTCTGGTGGTTAGAAGGTTGAGATCTGCTGTAGAATGTCTAGCTCTTATTTCTTTTCAGTCTCCCTCACAAGTCTGCTCTTGTGGTACGGTTTCAGACATGAACTTTCAGTATTGCAACACTCCTATGAGAGAGATCTTTAATTGTGTAGAGATGAGGTGCTGAGAGGCAGATGTTAAGCAAGTTACCAGCTTTTCCCAGCAAGTTTTTATGGCTGCTGGTGCATACACATGCACGTTTATGTGGTAGAGCAACACGTTCATGGAACAGGAAGCCTCAGAGCTGCAGGAATGGCACCCGGTAGAACTGGTTGAGTCCAACCCGTTTCCCATAGGCCTTGACCCACAGAAAGTGGAAGGGAAGAACTGTTGCAGTGCTCTGAACTCAGGTCATTGGAACATACGTTCTGTAGGCTTAGACAGGTATACTCTTTGCTGGGTAAAAAACTGGCTGGATGGCCGAGCCCAGAGAGTTGTGGTCAATGGAGTTAAATCTAGTTGGCAGCCCATAACAAGCGGTATCCCCCAGGGCTCACTTCTGGGGCCAGTACTGTTTAATATGTTTATCAATGATCTGGACAAAGGGATTGAGTGCACCTTCAGTAAGTTTGCAGATGACACCAAACTGGGTGGGAATGTTGATCTCCTCGAGGGGAGGAAGGCTCTGCAGAGGGACCTGGACAGGCTGGATCTATGGGCCGAGGCCAACTGTATGAGGTTTAACAAGGCCAAGTGCCAGGTCCTGCACTTGGGTCACAACAACC